CAGTCCTAGACACTTGGGAAGTGTGATCCAATACAACATGTGATCCAATACAATAGCCAGCAGAGTGTCTGCTGTGGACTCATCTTGTTGTGTTTCAAATAATGATGATAATAATAATAATAATAAATAATTTATTTCTTTTCCGCCCTATCTCCCCAAGGGAGGATTACAACAAACTAAAAAAATTAAATGCCTCACCACAAAAGTAGACAAGGACATAATAACAACCCACTCAGTTTCAACACCAATCGACATCAAACAACCAATCATAAATAAAACCTAAAATCGCATGAAAAGTTACATACATTAACTTTAAAGTTACATACATAAAAATAAGCCCAGAGAGCACAGAGTTAAAACATATTGCCATAAAATAAAAACAAAACAAAAAACCAAATAGAAACATAACATCATGAAAACAGTACCATGGGAGCTCTAAAAGTGCTGCGTTCAGAGGGCTCTGGGATTGTGCAAAATTCCTAGTTAGAGCTAAGGGAAAGTGCAAAATTCAGTGGCAGGAATGGGAGAGTAATGTCTGGCTTTATAATGTCAGGATTGTAGAGCAGAGGGCGATGCTAAAGTGCTGGACCTTAGGTATTAAAAGGCCATTTCTTTGGAACTGCCTAATCAAAGGCACAACAGAACATCCATGTTTTTAGTATGCGAAGCCCTCATCCGCTTCCAGGACCTAGAAAAGTACAATGCCTTTTCAGTTGTAGTAGTTATAAGGTACTAATGCAGAGGATACTGATCAATCATACTTATCAAGGCAGGTGCTTTCTTCCATTTATATGTGTGGCATGATGAATTCAGATTGGAATTCATTCATTCTATTGACATGTTGAAAATGGCTCAAAATAGATGCAAACAGAACTTGTTCTGCCTTTGCAAAGGGGGTTGCAGTGCTACTGTATGAACTTGCATAATAATGAGGATGTCTAATTAAGCTGAAACATCATGCCCTTTTAATTATGCAATTAAGATGTGGAATTACATAATTAAGGCATGTAATTACATGATGAAAAAATGTTATGAAATTTTCTACTACTTAGTGACATTGCATTTTAAACTTGGGGGGAAACCTCTATGTACTACCTCTTAGTATGCAGTAAATGTTACTAGTAAAGTCATAGAAAATATGGAAGAAGGAATATTTTCCCAAAGTTAACAAGGGAGACATTGCAGTGTTAACTTCTACAAGTGTTATTGGATTTACAGGACACACATTCTCAGAGATACAGGTTACAAAGCAGCTTCTCCCATTGATTCTTAGTCTGATGGTCTCATTTAAACCTGATAATTATGTAACCTTTCAATTTGAAACATGCACTATGGTCTTAAATAACTGTTCTCACTTTCTCTTTCCCCCCTTTCTTTAACCTTTGTATTTGCAAACATCACCCATGAGTTGACATTGCTGTCCTATCCCTGATAGTGTTTCTCTTTCAGGATTGTAGAGCAGAGAATTGACTACAAGGTCTTGCTGATTTTAGGATTCTGGGGCATGCAATTTCCAAATGTAACTTTTCCAAGGTCTGCTATCAGCCACAGGGCAGACTAATGCAGAAGATACTCATATCCTGCTATATGTTGTCCTTTCTTAACTATTATGTGTAAGAGAAGATCAAAGAAACACATAATAGCATAACATTATGTGCATCAGTCATAATGTCTAGTTAAACTTGGTACATACTGGTTGCAAGTAGGTATAAAATTTGTCTCTACCTGAAGGAATTTACTCTGTAAATTCTATTGGTCTGGTTGGTACAAGACAATGCCATACATATGTGTTGAAATCTCCAACTTGGCTGATATGTGCAGCAATTTAACATTCCTGAAGTTGGTGTAATATTTAGAGAATGAGTTCTGTCGCAGTAAAAATATACAGATATTTAGAGGTACAACATCAAATGCGATTTCTTCATTGAAGTTCAACATCAGTAGGTCACACAACATTAGTATGTAGTAAGCAAGTGTTTCAGTTTTACTCTGCCAGATTAGATAATGTGTGAAAATTTATTTTTATATATTATTTTATGATATTCTGTACCCAGCACTTGTCACATAGCAGGTAGTACATTTTTGCATAATATAAATGAATACATTTATCATACATGGTATGCAATATATTCTTTAAAGCAGGCACTATAAATAGAACAAGGAAGACTTATCTAATGTATTACTTCTATTGCTTAAAAGTGGTAGGTATTGCCATAGTCTATATGTTGTACATATCTTTGTTTTGATATGCAAACTTTATACAAGGAACATCAACATATTATACCTGCTTGGTGAGCATTGGTATTTATTTATGTATTCATTTATTCAAATATTTATATTCTGCCTATATATCATGGTATCTAAGGATAATGCATGATCAGTGTAACTACTGTAGTTTAAAACAATTCAGAATTTAAAAGGACAAGAGAGGGGTTACCAGGCTAAAAACACATTAAACAAGTTTTAAAAGTGGTTTCTACATCTGCATATACAATTTGGAAATATTAGTTAGGAATAAGAAAGCATGTTTTAATGTGATACCAGACTGAAACCTGTGTTGGCTCCACTTGGATCTCCAAATGGGAGGAATCTCACAAATAGGAGCCATAGCAGAGAAGATCCTTTCCCATATTTTCTCACAATGTGTTCTTAAACTTTCCCACTTGGGACTCCTTTTGGTGTTATACATTTTTTCGTGATCCCAGGTATATATTTATAAAAAATAAGTATAAAAAATCTAACATTTATTGATAAAAAACCAACATCTGGAAGTCTTGTTAAAAAACTGACCTCACAACCTCTGAGGATGCCTGCCATAGATGCAGGTGAAACGTCAGAAGAAAATGCTTCTAGAATATCACCATACAGCCTGAAAAACCTACAACAACCCAGTGATTCCGGCCATTAAAGCATTTGACAATTATTTTCTTACGAAGTAGAAATGAAGCATCTTCTGCAGCAATGGTTCCCAACCTTTTTTTGACCAGGGACCACTTTGACCAGGGACCACTCTCCAATATTAGTACCAAAAGGGTTACGAATCAGTTTTTTGTCAACTTTAAATTTAGTTTGGTTATTTGGGGTGCTGACTCAGAAAACTGCTTTGGATAGACCACATCAGCTCTACTTTCTGATATAGAACATATGCCATCTAGTAGTTACCATCTGCTCACCCACAGAACACCATATTTAATACTCTAGAGCTGATGTGGTAGTAGTAATCTTTTGTGATTAGCCTCAGCACTATAAGAAGGTTTCACGAGACCAGTTTCTCTCATTGACATGTGGGTTCAAGGCAATGATGTAGTAATGATGAGGCCATGGTCCATATATTCATTCTTGCAGACCATAGGTTGGGAATCACTGTCTGCAGAATCCAGTGTAAACATTGCACAACAGATTTGTGCAATGTCTAAAACTGCCACTAGGTGACATTCAGAAAACTTTTCCTGTTGCCAAATGTTTCAGTACCCCAACAGTGAGCTAAGGGGACCCCATTTGGGGTTGAGACCCACAGTTTGAGACATAGTGATCAAGAGGTGCAGTTTCTGGCTGCTCTGTGTCATTGGCAAGAGAAAAGAAGGAAAAATCCATGCACTTGATAAAACATGAAACATTATTTTGTTGATCATTCATTGAAAGATCAGGAAGACTAAGCTCATTGTGATATTATACCGCCAGCATTGTGATATTATACCTCCAATTTGTCAGAGACAGTCCTAATTAATCTTTTGTCATACCACATTTCCAGGTGAAAATATCCCATTTCCTCTCATCTCCTTCTGCTTTCACATTTTGCCTCTGCTTACTTCTGTTGCAGGGAAAGGACAGGGCAGCTGGGGGAGAAACTTTCCCTTCGCAGTAGATTAAGCCAAAAGCAAACTGCTGCAGTCTCTCCTAGCTTGGGTGTTCTTCTTCCCTGATAACTTCTGCCAACTTGACTATAGTGTAATGATGACGTAAGATGTGTATAAAGTCCTTCCAATTCCTTCCTCCCTTCCTTCCTCCTTCTTTTCCTTTCTCCCTTTCCTTTTGTCTTTCCTTCCTTCCCTCTTTCTCCTTCCCTCCTTCCCTTCCTCCCTTTTGCCCTCCCTCCCTCCTCACTCTTTCAGCCTTTCTTCCCTTTTGTCTTCCCCTTTCCTCCCTCCTTCCCTCTCTCCCTCCTTGTCCTTCCATCCTTCCCTTCCTCCCTTTCATCCTTCCTTCCTTCTCTCTTTCCTTCCTCCTTCCCTTTTTTCCTTCTGTCACCGGGAAGCCAGTCCTCCTAGCAGGGAATGCTAGCATGCAGCACCCAAGTTAGAAAGTTTACCCATGCCTGATTTGACTGGTCTACAGCTACCTAAAAGCCTAAGAATCTGATTTTATTCAAGTGTGTGAGGAGTTTGCTGTTGGAGAGGCTAGCTTTTTATTTTGAGAGAAGGAGGCACCAAATCTTGGCATGAAAAGATCTCTGATAAATGCCTGCCATGTCTTATAACCGCAAATATTGTTTAGAAGAGAAATCCATCAGAGCCTGAAAGTAACACATTGCAGCAGAGGGAATTTCCAGAGGTTTGGGGGCTGTACATATCGAAATAAATTGATTTTCATCCCATCAGCTTTCTTCAGCATAGCAAACATGACAAATTCCTCTTTTGATCATGAATAATGGTAGCAAGCTAGGTAGTTTAAAAAAATTAACAAGTAAATAATTGTTTTTTAAAAAATAACATTTCAAGCTCTTGTTTTTACATGATTTTTGATTATCAAAAGTTTTATAGCTCTCTGCCTTTTAATTCTTGGACGTTCTAATTTGGCAAAAATGTATGCTATTTTAGCTGGGTTATTTTAGAATTTCTGAGATGTTTAATTTCTTCTATATTGTGGAATTGAATTTTACCATTTAATGCTATGAACTGTTTTGGGAGACTTAAATATCAAGAAAATACATTCAAAGAAAGAAGTAACATTTCCTTTGCTGTAACATGGCTTTCTTTCACCTTTCGTTCATTCTTCTGCAGGTATTCCACTTTTCCATACTCAAGGCTGCAAAATGTGGGCATCCGCCATCCTCCCCCATTGCCTTTCATTGGAAACCTACTATACTTCCGCAAGGTAACAAGTTCTGAGTCCCTCAACATGGGAGAGAGGGCAGGATATAAAACAAAGTAAATAAATAAGTAAATAAGAAGTTCTTTGAGTCGTATCTGTCCTGGAACGGCTGTTCCAGTGGCTCCAATTTTGTGTTTTGCACTGAGTGTTTGTTCATAGTCCTAAGTTGCAGGGACTTTGCAGATAGGTGGCTTCCTTTGGCTGCATTCATAGGACAAGCCACCTGTCAATTATAGTTAGGATCCCTGGTCCCGCCCCTCTCTGGGTTTTTTGGAGGGAAGGGGCCATCTTTCAGTTAGTCTCAGCAAAGGAAGTCAATGCAGAGGATGTATACAGACATCCTCCTGTGCAAAGGCTTCGTTCCTTAAGACTTTCTGGGGAAACAGCCTTATAGGCCTGAGGAATTCCAGAGGGAATAACAACTCTAACCATCAAAGCAGCTAAGTGACTACAGGCCTGCTGGTAAGTCTACTCGGTTCTGAGACGCAGTTCAGCAGGTAGTGGATTCAAAGCAGTCAGGTTTAGGTTCACAGCAGCCTGGGAGGAGCTAGAAAGGGGAATTTTCCTTTGAACAAGGTTTTTGAAGATAGTGCCTGTTCCCTGTGAACAAGATTGCAAGAGCTAAGAGACTGTTTAGAAAACTTTACAATTCCTGTTTGTTCATCAATAAAAGACTGTTATATTTAAGCTCAAGCCTCATAAAGACTGTTTAATAAGGGAAATTTCTCTAAAGGCTTCTTTTCGGGGCCCTGGGCTTCCCGCTGGATCCAAGCCATACATCCTCTCTTAAAGGCACTTCATTTCCGGTCCAGCGGCAACAGAACAGTATCTATTGCTGCATGACTTAAATCACATGTGTTTACATATCTCTACCAATCTCTTTCCTTTTGAACACCTTGTAGTTGAAGTTGACATGAACTCACAGAGGAAGATGTGTGGGAATTTTTCAATTTCACAAAGATGTTATATTCAAATGCAAAACCTAGCATTCTAAAACAAAAACAAAAGATGAATTCTAGAAATCTGGCTCTAATTTATGTTTGTAAACTGCTTTTTTCATGTCAGGAGCGACTTGAGAAACAGCATGTCTCTTCTGGTGTGAGAGAATTGGCTGTCTGCAAGGACGTTGTCCAGGGGATGCCTGGATGTTTTTATTTTTTACCATCCTTGTGGGAGGGTTCTCTCATGTCCCCACATGAGGAACTGCAGCTGGCAGAGGGAGCTCATTCGTGCTCTCCCCGGATATAGTATAGTAACTGCTTTGGGAGATGGTGTCTGGGCATTCGGACAATGTGGCCAGACCAGCAGAGTTAATGGCATAGGAGCATCGCTTCAATGCTGGTGGTCTTTGCTTCTTCCAGCATGCTGACATTTGTCTGCCTGTCTTCCCAAGAGATTTGCAGGATTTTCCAGAGGAAACACTGATGGAATCATTCCAGGAGTTGAGTGTGACTCTGTAGACAGTCCACGTTTCACAAGCGTAATTCCCCCTCTTATACACACAGGCCAGGTTCCATGCAAAATGGAACCAACCAAGAAATATTTTTTAAGAAAGTTGAAGTTTATTATCACTCTTGAATTTTGAAGCAAAAAGTTTGGCACAAATGGGTTCATAATTATCTAAGTGCTACAGGCTCTATTTCAGAAGAAGGTACTCTGAAAACCGCCTTTGAGTATTTCTTGTCTAAGAAAATCCTATGAAATTCATGGGGCTACTGTAAGTTGATGAGAGATTTGAAGACACATGCACAAATTCATGAAAGAGAATTCAAAACAGATTAATTGCATCAACTGCAAAATAGATGAGTGAGGTTGGCATACTTATTCTTTTCTCCTTTCTTTGTATTTATACTTTATGCTCTGCTTTAGAGCCAGATCTTTGCAAACTGCTTACTCACCATCATTATTTAAGGCAGAAGTTGGAAAAACTTTGGCCCTCCAGATGTTTTTGGCCAGAAGCTCTCCGTATTGCTCACCCTTGCTTAGACTTTAGTTTAAAAACATCTGGAGAAATGTATTGCATGCAAATGATCCCTAGTTTAATTCACAGCATCTCCAAGCAGAGCAAAACAAACCTCCTCAAATGTGTGGAATCCACCAGAAATATTTTGGCTTGAGGGACATCCTCCCAAAGGAGCTGTAGAATATGTATGTCCTTAATGTAGAACTGGCAGCGCTGCCAAGGGATGGCTTGGGATGCCTGTCTATGAATGTCTACTGTGGCCAGGGAACTTGCATGTTCAGCATTTTGAAGCAACACCACTCTCCAGCATTTGGAGAAATCAATACGGGAATTTTCACAACCTCTGAGGATGCCTGCCATAGATGCAGGTGAAACCTCAGGAGAGAATGCTTCTAGAGCATGGCCATACAGCCCAAAAAACCTACAACAACCTATTTTCCCTTTGTTTGAATTGACTTGATAAATGAAATGAAATTCCTTTCAATCATCCTAATCTCGCCAAGAGAGTCTCACTTTTTCAGCTACTTTTAAATATCCCAGTTTCTACTTTTTCCTCTCACTTTCCTCCTTTGTCCTTCAATCACTGCAGTATGAATCCAAAGTTCAAAAGTAGTTTGCACTCAATTATTTCAGCAAGAGAGGAGAGTGGATGAGAGACATTTCCAGGAGACCTAGGCAAAAGCAAGCTGCTTCAGCCCTCTCCTAGTTTGTGTGTCCATTAACAATTTTTACCATCCTGACCACACTCTGATATGACTTGAGCACACATAACCAGTTTTCATCTGTAAAATGTTGGAAGAGATGCAAATTAAAAACTGCAAGGTACCCGCCATACGGCTTTCAGGTCGATCTGCATCTAATACCCATTGTCTGTTTTCCTTTGTTCCTTCTATGCAAAGCCTTTCTTCCTTTCCTTTCCTCTCCCTCTCCCCACCCCACTATTTTATTTTATTAGCCAGGCTGTTGACAGGCTGCGTGCTGCTTCCCTGCCTTGAATTTTAATGGAGACATCACTCTTTCTTTAGCTTCTCTCCGAGTGGACAGGATATTCTTTGTTTGCTCTGTTTATTCCTGTCTGGCCTACTTGTAGCTCCTGGTCGGCTGCTTCTTCTGAGTGGCCCACTTTGGTTGAATGGAAAACGGGGACAGACTGTTGGGGGCGGGGAAGAAGAGGGGGGAGAGCTTTGTCTCTCTTACTTTTGGTCTGGCTGGACCGGACGGTTTTATAGCTGTTGGGGAGACAGAGACTAAGAGGCAGGGCAGGAAGGAGGGTGTAAATGCTACCCATTCTTCCTCCCATCACATCTGTCCCTAACATCCTTTGATAAGCAAGGGAAAGACAAAATGAAAAGTGGTGTAGGGCAATGCTGGTCGAGTCCTGGAGCCGGAATGCTATGCTTCCATCTTCAAGGCACATAAGCTGTAGAAAGTTGATACTGGAAATGGGTCTGTGAAGAGGGAAAAAGGAGCTGAAGTTCAAGAAGTGGTAGGTGTATTGTCTGCACCCTCAGTTTTAATTATAGCTGCAGACAATAGTAAAATGGCATGCCATTTCATGTTGCTTTAGCAGGAACAAAATAGAAGATAAGAGATTATAGGAAGATACTAGAGATAGACTCATAGAATCATAGAGCTGGAAGAGACCTCGTGAGCCATCCAGTCCAACCCCAAGATATTTACTTGCCATTTATTAGATAAAGGTAAAGGTTTCCTCTTTACATTAAGTCTAGTCGTTTATGACTCTGGGAGGTGGTGCTTATCTCTATTTCTGAGCCGAAGAGCCAGTGTTGTCTGTAGACACCTCCAAAGTCATGTGGCTGGCATGACTGCATGGAATGCTGTTACCTTCCCACCGAAGTGCTACCTATTGATCTACTCACATTTGCATGTTTTTGAACTGCTAGGTTGGCAGAAGCTGGAGTTAACACTCTATCCCCCGGATTTGAACCACTGGCCTTTCAGTCAGCAAGTTCAGCAGCTCAGTGGTTTAACTCTCTTTGCCACTGGGGGCTCCTATTTGTTAGATATTAACATGGAAAATTTAGAAAGTGAGAGAGATAGGAAAAAGATTAAATGCACAATGTGTCACTCTTTGGAGGGAGGACACATGTTCAGTTAAGACTAGTCACTCTGAGGTCAAGAGGAAATGCTTTGACACTGGATTTCAAAACCATTATGGTGCACTAAAGCAGAATTTTGTACCCCAGCTGTATTAGATTATAACTTCAAACATCTCAAACCAATACAGAAATTGATCAAGTTGGCTGGACATTATGGCAGTAGAGTTGCCAGAGGACATTCATGTCTTTAATAATTGTATAGAAGAAAGATTTGCAGTAATAGTTGTATGTCATGACTCCAAAATAGTAAACAACACATTCCCTTTTCTGCACAACCATAAAAGTCCGGAATTTGTTGTAACTGACAACCCTGTGGCACCTTAAAGACCAACCGGTTTTATTTGAAAGACAATTTTGAGGATTTTAGCCCACAGATGCAGTGCTTATCTCTACGCATATAGCGGCCATAGTTGGGTGACAATAAGGATTCCACTTCACCAGCCAGTCTTTCCTATTTCCCTTTATAAGGTTACAGCTGCTTCACACTTATATGAGTTTACCATGTTATTCAACCCAAGAGTGAATGCAGGTGGTCCATCAAGCTCTTTTTTGATGTCGGAAACAATAGTACCAGTATATGGAAGAAGACAGAGCCAATTTCCATGCAAATTAATTGATTTCTGAAAAAAAACCCTCATAAACAATCATAATCCATTCATGCCCTAAAATAAAGATTCCCATATCTGTTTGGAATCTTTATTTTAGGGCATGAATAGATTATAGATTGATATCTTTATTGTACATATTTTAAATCTCCATTTAGACTTTATTTGTAATAATACTGCTCTGAAATTCTCCTTTAACCTCCACAAAAATAACAATGTAATAATAGTAAAAACAGTTCTATTCCTTTAAAAGAAAGGGAGGGAAGGGGATAACTAGACTTTTAGAAACTGATGTTGGTCATCTATATCTGGAAG